ACTTTATAGAACTTGGTCTTCTTCCTCCACGATCCGTGTTTCAGACATGAGCCTTTGCCTGCAATTCAGTGCAGTTAGAGTTTGTACAATTGCTTCAGGTCGTGAGCATTTTTAGGTGCACCGCTAGACACAAACCGCGAAATGATCTTTCTATTCTGAACTCATTCCATTTGCCAACCAAAGCAAGGATATGCATGTCACATTTGAGCCAGTCAAAATGTGAGTCATGCTGCCCTGGCTGGTGTGGCTCAGTTGGCTGGAGCATGGTTCCATGCACCAGAAGGTGGCAGGTTTGATTCCGGTCAGGGACATATACCCAGATTGTGGGATTGATCCCCATCAGGGGCTAGTGCTGGAGGCAGCAGATTGATGTTTCTCTCTTTCTTCCTCTCCCTTCCTCTCTCTCTCTCTCTCAAATCAATTTTTTTTTTAAATGTGACTCACACCAAGTTCTAGGGAAACATATAACCAAAGTTTAGTCATAACCCAAAGTTTAGTCATAAACTGTGACAACACACCCACGTGGACCACTGACTCCAAACCCACATTTCAGAAATAGTTCTTCAATGGACACAGACTGAATCACATTTCATTCAGATCTTCCTCTCCCCACAAAACTGCCTAGCCCATGTGCAAAACTCCCGGAAGGGCCCTATTTTTTCATCTAAAATCCAGTTTGTTGGTCTATATCCTTCAACTTGGAAAAAAATATTGAAGTAAAAGAAACTCACCACTTGGCTTTCTGAAACATTATCAACTAATGTCAAACAGGCATCAAGAAGGACTATACTGAAAATGAAGAGTGTAAAAGGAAGGCTAAGAGTTTGTATTTTGTATGTTAGTTCAGTTTAGTTTTTGAATCCATCCGCTCCAAATAATATAGCATCAATCTTTGTGGTGGTGATTATGTGACAAAAGCTGCAGGCTTTCTGACTAGGGCAGTGGTCAGCAAACTGAGGCTCTCGAGCCACATGTGGCTCTTTGGCCCCTTGAGTGTGGCTCTTCCACAAAATACCACAGCCTGGGCAAGTCTATTTTGAAGAAGTGGCTTTAGAAGAAGTTTAAGTTTAAAAAATTTGGCTCTCAAAAGAAATTTCAATCGTTGCACTGTTGATATTTGGCTCTGTAACTAATGAATTTGCCCAACCACTGAACTAGGGAAAAGGTTCTGACATGCACAGCAATGAATTTAAGAAACTAATGGCATAATAAAGTACAGATGCAAGGAACTGCACCAGCCCAGAACTGTTTTTTGGATAGTGTCGACTTTTGGATAATTTGATGACTGATTTAATTAGGAAATGATCACTCTTTAGTAGAAAGGAAATGCTGGCTGAAGGGCAGACACTTGGTTCCCTTCATCCCCAAACAACACTCAGCATCCCTCACCTTAACAGCTTTGAATCTAATACTTAAATGCATCTGTTCGACCATAGTGAAATTAATAACCATAATCATGGCTCCCTGAAAGATTTCACGATTGGCCGCTCAGCTGTGATATTTTTTCTCCTCTCAATTTCAGAACTAACATGGCTTTCTAGGGAAGTCTCTGGGAAGAAAAAGCCATCATTGTGCAATATCTCTTGCCTATGTTTTCACCATGAAGCAACATTTCTTTAATAAAGAATCAAGACACAGACTCAATGGTGAATGTATAGTCGTTCATCAATTCACTCATTCACGCGTTGTTTTGAAAAGGTGATTCCAATCAGGTCAGAAACATGTAATATCTTTGAAAGGAAGGAATGATGAATGAGATCTCTGTTTGGAAGATGTGCTGTTTGGGATATAGGTACTTTTAAAAATGGGGGCGAGGGGTGGAGGGAGTCAATGAGGAAATAAAGGGAACATATATAATACTTTCAACAACAAAGATAAATTTAACAAAATAAATAAAAGTGGGAGGTGAAAGGCTTAAAAAAAAGGTATTTTAATGTAATAAATTACCAACATAATCTAAATTAATTACAAAATGCAACTATTTCAGGGACATAAAAGCAGGTTTGAAAAAGAAATCAGCTAGTGAGTGACCAGGGTTACGGGAAGGGGCGAGGAATGACCTTGTTTCGTTAGATCTCATGCTGGTACAGGGAGTGACAAAAAGACTACACAAACAGTAAAGGAACTCTCCTTCACTGAATTTGTTTCCAAAAAATGTCTATGGTGGCCTTGAAATTAGGCACTATTGATCTGGAACCACAGTGTGCCCTAGATTTCAAGCCAACGTTTGTCCACAAAGGCCAGATTCCCAGGACTATTGATAGTTGCTGGTCAAAGATAATTAAATAAAAACCTGAGCCTAGCCCTAGCCGGTTGCTCAGTGGTTAGAACACCGCCTGCCTACGGACAGAAGGGTCGGGTTTGATTCTAGTCAAGGGTACATGCCCGGGTTGCAGGCTCTAGCCCCAGTAGGTAGGCAATCATTGATTCTCTCTCATCATTGATGTTTCTATCTCTCCCTCTCCCTCTCTGAAATCAATAAAAATATATTAAAACACACACACACACACACATCTGAGCCTACCTTTCTCAATAACAAATATCTTTCAAGTTTTGTCCTTTGGGAGTACCATGTTTTACTTTATCACCTTGGCCTTATAAACTAGGACCACAAAAGAGAAATCTTGGTCAAAACTAATAAGTATGTAAAAATTACTGCTATTACAACTTTCAAACCTCAGAGGGAAAGTAGGGGAGGGTGGGGGTAAGGGGAAGAGATCAACCAAAGGACTTGGATGCATGCATATGGGCCTAGCCAGTGGCCATAGACAATAGGGGGGTAGGGGCATATGTGGGGAGGGGTTTGGGATGGAAATGGGGGAATGAGGACAATTATGTGATACCATAATCAATAAAAATAAAAAAATTACTACTATTACTAAAAAACAAAAAACAAACAAACAAACAAAAACCTGTTAATAAAATTTAAGCTTTGGAATAGTTAAGTCCCTAAGCCAGGACTAGTTTCTTGGGGGGGCGGGGGAGGGGGGAAGAGGATGCGGAGGTGGGGGAGGATAATGGGGGGAGCCTAAATCTGAGTTTGGCACATCAGGATAACATCCCAAAGGTATTTTTTTACTTGTCTGTTTTTGCAACTCCATCCCTGGATATTACAAACTCCAGTCTGAGCACTCCCTCAGCCAGGGCTCCAGCGAGCTCCCCTCAGCCCACAGGAATTCCCCATCACCTCCTTCTCTTTCCCACTGAAAAACACTGTGTTTTACGTGCTTCCTACAGAGCATAAATAGAAACGACTTGTCCCCCGGGATTTCAGAGCCATCAGGAAATTTCTGAGTCTAAAACAAAGTGAAAATATTCTGGCCTTTCCAGGAAAGCACACCTTCCCTTTGCAAAAATCCTGCTCTGTCTCCCCCCTGTGCTATGTAATTTTTTTCAGAAACTGAGAACAATCTAGAGCCAGGTAGTTTTTTATAAACCGTCAACAAAATACTCTTTCTAGCTCTGAAATGTCATTGTCATCTGGCTAGACAGATCGACAATCCATGAAGTCCAGTAAGGCCACACTTCCTGACTTGGTTTCATGGGACATAATGTGGTGGCTGCGGTCCTTCCTCATCTCCTGGAAATGCCCTTTGGTTCAGGCACCGGGATGCAGCTTTCGACTCACAATGAAGCCCACACCCGTTTCCTCCCAGACCAGGCACCAGAAGGATCCTCACTGTGAGGAACAGTGGTGAATGAAAAGGGAAACTTGACTCAGGAGCCAAGCAGCCCATACATTTTTTTTTTCCTGCTCCAAAAGGAAGAGCCTTAAGCACTGTGAAGTGAGCGCTGGGAATCAGTTTGTGGAGGTTTTCCACCCAGTTAGTGACCTGGGCACACAAATCTCCAAGGGGGGGTTGGGGGAGGGGTGTTTGAATCAGGAAATAAAAAATTACAATTCTATACTTCCAGTTCTCAAACCATCTTTCCCTCCCCTCCCGGTAGGCAATTGCTTTCCCTAAATACCAAACTTGGACACTAAATCAAACCCTCGTTCTATTGCTCTCTGCACTTCATAGTGAAAGGAAGGATTTGTTTTGGTCCCGCGTGTTGGAAAAAATACATGCTCCTATAATTAAGAGTTTGCATGCCACACCTTCTGCCACATTTCCCTGTGAAAGCTCCCTTTTCTAAAAAAACGATCCCTGAAAACACAGCTGCCAGCCCTCACCCTTTTCTCAGCCGCAGACCACAGATCTGAAGATCTTCGGCAGCCGCCCTAACCCCTCCAGGCCACAGAGTGGGCAATGACAGGGATCCTCGGTTACAAAGTAATAGGCGTGCAAAGGGCTGGACTTTTACAAGTGTGTTCCCGAGAGACTAGCTTTCCCACAGTGTCTCCTGATGAATTCACCCCCCAGTGAATGTCTCACATCCTGACTGGACTATCTGAAAGGATTTCTTATGCTGCTATAGAACAACACATCAGAATAACCATTACATTCTTTCAGTTAAATCCCCCTGTGGAACAGGCCACACAGGATCTAAAAAAGATAACACTTTTGTTCTCTCGCAAAAAATAAAATTTTTTTAAAAAGCTCCATTTTTTAAGTCAATATTTCACAAACTTTTTGTGACATTTTAAAATACTTCTTCTCTCCCTCCTCTCCCTCCCCCACCCCCACCCCCAATTATCCCAACCCTCATACTTCTCTGATTAGGGTTCACAAATGTTAGTGGGAGACCAGGGTATAGGGGGAAGGGGGTGGTCTAAGGATACAGACAAGACCTCACACGTCCAGTCCTGGAGGTATTTTCACACCTAAGCTCATCGGGAGCCCGAGGAGTAAACCTTACACCAACGCCACCCCCCAAAAAAGTGCCCGATCCCATTGGGACACAGGAGTAAGGGAAGGAAATCGACCCCAGAGGAGGAGGAGGAGGAGGAGGAGGAGGAGGAGGAGGAGGAGGAGGAGGAGGAGCTGCTGCCCCCCGCTGCAGCCACACCACGGTGCCACCGCTCCCGGGGCTCAGAGGAGCCCAGCGCCCCGGCTTACCTGGGCTGGGCGCCGCCGGCACGAGTTCCCAAAGTTCTGGCTCCTGTTCCCGCGGAGTTCGGAGCCCGGAGTTCGAAGCCCCCGCAGCTCTGGCCCCGCCACGGGCTGGCGCACCCGAATCCGGCCCCGTCCCGCTCCCGCCGTCCGTCCCCACCCTCCGGGCCCTACACCATGTCAGGAATCCGGGCAGACACCGAGCTGGGAGCTGACATCACTCCCGGCCCAGGTACCTCCCCCTCCCTCCTCCCTCCCTCCCGCCGCCGCCGCCGCCGCCGCCGCCTCCCTCCTCCCTCCCCCCCCGCCAGCGGGGACCAGCCAAAGAGCGGCCGCGGGGGGCGGGGCCGGAGGCGCTCCGGCGCCCGCTGATTGGCCCGTGGGGCCGTCATTCAGAGGAGCCAGCTCATTTTATACATTCCTCGCCGAGCCAGACTGGGGCTGGAAGTGGGTGTTGATGGAGGAAAAAAAAAAAAAAAAAATGCTGCCTTTCCTGCTATCTCTCAGGAAGGGAGATGTATGGGGAAGCACCTCGCGCGGGTCGTGGTTTTACACTCTTCCTTTGCGTAGTGGTCCCTCCATCCCAGATCAGAAATGAAACTGTGAAACTGACCCACCCAAACCCTCTTTTTTTTTTTTTTTAAGGAAAAAATCCATTGCCTCGGTGTCACGGGCAAGTCCGAGTCCGGCGGTGCGTGGAGCAGAAAAATGGCTAGCTGTAAAAAAAAATAAAATAAAATAAAAAAATCATGCAAATAAAGGGAAAAGGCCAGTTCCCTCTGCTTCCCTTTTACCTTGGGACGGCTGGGTGTCCCCCCTAAGAGAGGACATTTGGGACTTCAAAGGCACTTGGGGGGAACATGGGGAGCCAGTGCTGGAAAAGGCGACCAGCTGTGAATTGTTAACTCGTAGCGTTACCCGACCACGTGACTTCTTTTGCTGGGAGCGATGAAAATCAATCACACCACGCGAGCTTCCAGGCAAGTCAAAGTGGAATAAGAATTGCTGCTTACCTGTTGGCCAACAGGAACGCTGCTGTTTTCACGCACAACTGAAAGGGGGGGTGGGGGGGGAAGACTCACCGCTGAGCTGAGGAAGCCACAAGAGAATAATTACTGTTGAATGGAACCAATTGCAGAGGCTGGGCTATCAATTAAGAAATAACTAGCATTTACCCTCGACAGATACCACGCTGTACAATCCCCTGTGGGCTAACAGAACAGAAGGATTCTCCCGAGATGCTTCCTTCCATGTGCCTATCTGCTCCCAGGCAGAACTGCAGGGTGAGAAGTGGCTCTATTCACAGGAGATACATAGATAGCTTATCATCCATCATCTTCTGGAGGGACAATGAATTGACTATTGACTATCTGTTGGGTTAGATTGTTTGTTTTTGATGGATGACAATGTTGTGCATTTCACCATCCTGCCAAAACGTGTAGAGGGATGCAGAGTCCAACGCTGTGCCTCACTGAATCCTCACCACCATCCTGTAAAGTGGGCGTCCCTGGCCTCATTGTTTTTTATCTAACAGTTTTAGTTTTTAATATTTTTGTTTTTATTGTTGATACTACTACAAGATTGGCCCCATATTAACATAAGAATCAAAGGCTCAGCCAGCTTACCTAAGTAAATTTCTCCAGAACACTCAGAACTGGGGCTGAAACCAAGGTCCATTAGACTCCAAAGCCATCAATCTTTACTCATTCAAACACTATACTGCTAATAAATAAATAAATAAATAAATATCCACGGACCTGGGCCAGTGCTCTCACATACCTACTTTATGTTATTGCCATTGTTAGGCCTTCACAATTCCAACCTCCTACCTTACACTTCCGACTCCATTTCCCCCAGCTCTGTGCATCCCTACCAGAGGAGTTTTCTAAAACACTGTTTGGTTTTGCCATCAAGATCTTCCCTTCTAAGTTCTGGCCCCCATCTCTGGGCAATTCTTGGCTAGCCATGTAACACTCTCCCTAATCTGGTCTATTTACCTCTCCCCCCTTATCTCCCACTTCAGCCCTGGGAAACACTGCTGCAGACTGACTGGTCTCCTCACAGATCTCAGCTTGATTCTCTTCTTCTGGCCTAACTGGAAACCCCACTCTTGTGTGTGTGTGTGTGGGGGGGGGGGGGGGGGGGGGGGGGAAGGGGAGGGATCAGGGGGAGATTGTTGTTTTGTTTTAAGACCTAATTTCTTAGCAACTTTCAAATACGTAGCACAGTATTATTAACTATAGTCACCACGCTGCACATTACATCCCCATGACTATTATATAACTATTTTATAACCGAGAACCTTCTGATCCTCTTCTGCATGTTAAGTCCTGCCCTTCTCTCAAAGCTTCATTAATCAAAGTCCTGTCTTTGCTGTGCACTGTGTGGACCGAAAAAGGGCTTGGGGTCCGTTGCCCAGTTCTGCTACTTACTTGCTGTGTAACTTGGCCAAGTCTCTAAAACATCCATCAGTTACCTCTTCTATGAAATGGGGCTGATGATACTTCAAAGATTATGTAAGCTTTATTGAGATTGTACAGATGTGTAAATATATGGAAATATATTTCTAGCTATATACATTTTCTATCTTCCCAAACTCTGAAGAGCAAGGTCTATGCTTAATATCTCTTTGTATTCTTTATACCCAATTCAAGGAGAAAACAAACAAACAAACAATAAAAATACAGAACAAAAAATCAATCATTTATCACCTCTAAACCCTCTCCATTCCTTAAATAAACCAAACTCCAAAATACCTCCAAATAATTTTGAAGCTAAAAACCACCTCTCTCCCTCCCTCCCTCTCTCTCTCTCTCTCTCTCTCTGTGTGTGTGTGTGTGTGTGTGTGTGTGTGTGTGTGTGTGTCTCCCCTCCTCCTCCTCCTCCCCACCCTCACCCTTTGGCCACAGTCCTTCCCTTTTCCCCCTCTGCCACCATCCATGGGACAGTCCTTCACCCTGTCAGATATTTTATGCACCAAACACTTAACCTGCCTCTTAGCCACTCATCCTTCGCTCCCACAGTCAGGGACACACTTGTGTGTGGTGCCTGTTGCCTGCCTTGCCCTCCCAAATGCCTTCTAACAGTGAGTGGCTACCAGTCATTCTTCCAGCCCCAGTCACAGGATGGCTTCACTCCTGCTCACATTCTACAACCGGCAGCAGAAGATGAGGGAGGGAATGTTCCACCCCCACAGGGATGGCAGGATAGAATAACAGGAAGTTGCCTCCCATCCCCTCCACAGCTGGAGTGATAACAGCTGCCATCAGAGTCCGGAAAACAAAAGACTCAGGAGGGAAACTGAAAACTGGCCCCGGCTGAAGCAGTAGTGTTCAAGCCAGGGGTTCCAGGGTGGGTGAGAAAGGAATCAATGGGCCAGATTTCAGACTCCTTCTCCCCAGCCTCTCCCTCCCCCTTAATCAGAGTTACAGCTGTTCTCTGTTCTGCATTTAGCCTTCACCATAATGCTTCATTTTTAAAAGAGACTCTAACACGTAAAGAAATATACTGAAACCACTGGCCTCTGTGTATCTTAGGGAAGCCCCAAAGAATAAAGACATCTCGGCAGAAGTGAACTAGGGTGGCCAGGGAGCAGCGACCTAGAGTTTACCCACTCCCCTGAATCTTAGCTGACTTAATAGAAAAGTCTGTTTATAACTTCTGTGGTTTCAACACGAATCAGCTCTGAAGATCAGATATCTATTTTCTGCCTAATTATTCTGATGACCAGCCTTACCTTTAGTACCTATGAATGTTGCCATATACTATCACTATGGGGTGAAGTGTGGAGGAGGACACTTTGAAAGCAAGAGAAAACATACAGAAAATAAAAAAAGTAGAACTTGGAATGGATCCTATAGGTCATCTGATGCAACTGTCTATTTAAGGCAAGAATCCTTTCCATAGCATTCCCGACAAGTAGCCCTCTAGCACCCACTTGAATTTATCTGGCAACAATGAGCACTTGAGCTAGAAGAGCAGCCCACCGCTAAAGATCTTTCTTCTAGGGCAGTGGTCAGCAAACTCATTAGTCAACAGAGCAGCAAACCATGGCTCACGAGCAGCAGTTTGCCAACCACTGTCCCAGGGGGCCAGGTCCTGCTTTTCTGACTATTCCCCCCAAAGATCTCTGTCTTGTGTCTCAATTTAATCCTCACAGCCATCCTATAAGGTGAGTGTTATTAGCTCTATTATGACATAAGAATCAAAGGCTCAGCAATCTGTAATAATAAAAATATAATATGCTAATTGGGCCAAACGTCCTTCTGAGGTCCTGATGAAGGCGGGGCTGAGAGGGAAGCCCAGGTCCCGGGTGCCAGAGGGAAGCTGGTGCAGGCAGCCAGGGGAAGGAAGACCCACTCTTACACAAATTTCATGCGTAGGGCCTCTAGTGTTACATAAGTAACTTGCTCCAGAACACCCAAGACTGGGATTGAAACCAAGGTCTCTGACTGCAAGCCATTTTTCTTTATATGCATCTAAAGCACTGATTGCCCACAATCTACTCGCGTTCAGTGCTCCCCACTAGAACAACAGATTGAAGAAGGACTCTTTTTATTACCCCAGCCCCCAGCCTGTGCATGCATGAGGACACTTTCCCTGCTTAGTTTGTTTAGATGCAGATACAGGAAAAGCTCACCTAACTCATCAGGGTCATGTCATTTGCCTGTCTGGTCTTCATAGGCTTCTGGCTGCAGGCCTCCTTAATGCAGTCCTGAATACTCTAGGTGCCTATCAAAGCACTTAATGTCTCCCCTCTACCTCTCTGAACTTATCATTGTACTTCACACATCTGGACTGTGCAAACTGAGTAACTCTGAGTGACCCACATCCCCATTTTGCCCATTTCTTCTAAAATCCATCCCACAGGATTGTCACAGGATCTGATAAGATGTCATCTGCTTGATGACTGAGCATGTTGCCTGACACATCATAAATCATCAATACACATATTTTTATTTTTCTAATGACATAAAAACAATTATAGTATTATTTTTACATATGGCTTATGTCCTACACTGACTGTAAGTTTCTTACAGTCTTTGAGGGCAGGATGCCAATTTTTCATCTTCATGTCCTTTATGGGATTTAGAACTATGAGTTGTCCCATGAAAAGTCAACAAAAATTTACTGAATGAGCCCTGGCTGAGTGACTCAGTTGGTTGGAGTGTCATCCCACACACCAAAAAAGTTGTGGTTTGGGTCACCAGTTGGGCGAATGTGGGAGGCAGACAATTGAA